CGGTTTCCCGCTTCCAACCAATTCGCGAAGTCCCTGGACATCATTATCTCTAAACTATGACTAAGCTCCTTGAAAGTCTCTAAATTCCACAGCACTATCCTTTCCTCAGGAAGGGTTCAGGAGACACTCGGGGGCAACCGGCATCATGCTCCTATCTCGCTGTATTGGTTCGATGGTTGCTATCAGCGTAGTATGATCCTATATAGGAAGCCATGGCTAGGCACTGGCAGGATTTATCGCATCCAGGAGACGCAGTAGAATGGCCACGAGACTGCGAGCAGCCATGCTGTATCTATTAAAGGAGGGAATAGGCGTTGTCCGCTTTGATGAGAGTGCAAACCCTATCATGCTACCAATCCCCACAAGCTTACAGATTCCAAAATGTGTCGGGGAACAAAGCGTATAAATTAGCCTATGTCCCCAGGCGAACTCCATGATATCAGTAAACTGGGTTAGTTTATTGGTGCGAGTATTTGCACTACATTCCTGTTCCGTTTATGCATGGTTTGGATGAATTTGATGGCTTTGGACTTATTTTCCGGAAGTATCATAGAACTATAAAAGTACAGTCCTAGTAGTCCCAAGATCACTAGCGAGGTAGTTCTAATGGCCTCTCCTTGTATCTAGTCAAGTCTCTAGAGCAAATCCTGGTACGTGTAGTGTGCCTCCTGTGCCTGTTCAAACAATTTAAGAGGAAATGGAACTGTGCAAGGACACGCTATGAGGACTAGGGACCTTGAGACAACTGAGTGTGGTGTTGTGTGCATGTACGTATAATGTCCTGTCCATGTTTGTATATATATTTTAGATCATCCTTTGAATTACGACTTTCTAGCCTAGGAACATGTCCGACAGTAGATATACTAGACGCGAGTCGAGGGGATTTATTTCCGTAACTGTACTTAGTAATTGTAGAATAAAGGGATGTTAATATTCGGAGTGTGATCCCTACGTAGGCAAAATAAGGTCTGAGAGACAACCAAAGATTGTAGGTCGTGCCACCATTTGCCGGAAGCACTTTGATATTTAGACTGTTGTACTCTACACCCAATTTAGAAGGGACTCCGAGGGGTACCTTTGTATCTCTCATATTCTGATCTTAAAGAGGTCGCAGATTCTCGCTGATACTCACAACTCTACAACTATTTTGAGGATCCTAGAGAACTGAACTCGCAGAAAGCAGGGCATTTCTCCTATATATCTGGGCACTAAATTGATTGGTAATTTCCTAGCCACTTGCTGGTTTACCCTGGAAATCATAATTTTACATTCACTAGCTTCCAAATATATATCAAGCAGAGTTGGATGTCTGTATTTATCCGTTGTATATCCTTTTTTTTAAATCTCTATTGATTTAATGGAGAACCCAAAAATGTAACATCAGCCCCTTAGTTCACCATATACTCTTTGCCGTTCCAACATCTCATCACCTTATTCGGGCAGTTTCAACCTGTCTACTCTATAATTTGCATTGTCTAATGAACTCCCCGAGGACATTGTATAATTTGGCTGCGAGTCTACGAACGAGTCATCCAGTAGTTTACCTATAGTCAAATTTCATTAAAACTACTCCTTATTGGCCGACTCTTTAACTGGTGATATCCTGGGACGACGCAGGTGGCCGACGGAAGCGGGAACGCGACGGGGATTTCAAACGTCTAGCCTCTGCGCCGGGGATGGCCGTTATTGACTCCTTCTGTAAGACATATCCTACCAGAAAATGGTATCATTATTATGAGTTCTACAGGAGTGCTTGATCCAGTAGATAGACATCGTGTTCTTCCATTGCCTCGATATTTGTTGCCCCCTACTTTGCACTCTCTCAGGTGGGAATGGGTTTATAGTGTGGGCATCTTATCAAAGTCAATATTAAAACAACCATTTACCCAATTGAGAGCAGGGAATCAATAACCTAACCCACCGGTCAAGTTCCGGTCCATGAATAACATCTCCCCGGCACCCCATCGAAGACTAGACAAGATATTACCGGCTGTAGAGGCCATAATTGAAAAGTCCCGACTCTAAAAATGCCGCATATTTCCCGAAACCTTTGGTGGGGGGTAAAATTTGTGAAACAAAAACCAAAATTGTGTCACAATGTGTCCATTTAAGTGGGAGTTGTTAGCGCACTAACCGCGACAGTGCATAGCTACATGCCAGCAAGCCATGGCCTGGAATGTGGCAGGCTGGATGTTCCTCCCACCTCTGAATTGCGCCTCATGTCTCATCGAGGAACCCAAATTCCTGGTCTGCGACAAGTAGACTCTCTGTTACGAAGGAGCCGAGTCCCCATATGTGAAGAAGAATCCTTCAGCTTCTATGTCTCAACCTCCAAACTATTGCAAATTTGTTTCTGTTTTTAACCAAACAGCCATCTACTTGGCATATTTTAGTGCCAAAAAATCGAAGATAAACTACACTACAGCAGACACTAAAGTACCTACCCACAACCCCAGTATCCGGGATCCCCGAGCCCTAATTCAACCAATCGATAACCAACAGACAACCAACGGACAACAGGCTGCCGAGAGACTCCTTTCAAATTAGACAAAACCAACCTTTTTTTTGCTTTTTTTGGTTTCTTTCCTTTTGATTCTCCGCTGACCATCCCTAGATCCACTGTTCGTATCAACACAACGCATCCAACCTGTCTGTTCCCACCCCACCCCTTCCCCAGATTTGTTTCGGATTTATCTAGGTCTTAATGCTGCCTGACATATAGTACACATCACCGGGTAAGAGTATCCTGAAAATAACATGTAATAATAAGACCAACTATGATCTGCATATGCGGGAAATGAAGCCTAGCGGTCAATCGAGCACCTAGAACTTGGAAAATTACCGTAAATCCCAAACCCACTAGGGCGGCAACTCCACAGACATGTAACACCAACACAACATTGCGTCAAAGAAATGAAACTTACTCGGGGATTTCCCACAGGATCGGGAGCTGAGGTTCTCTCCTCCTAGCTAGGGGGCCGGACGGAATCTTTGCGCGTTCGTGCTGCTGCAGGCTCGTTTCTGATCTTTCCGGTTTTAACACCACCTAGGCCATCCCAGCGGTCGTTAAAGAAGGTTCTTTTAAATATGGCCGTTTTTAGGACGATGGAGATCCGGGGAAAGGGAGCTCGGGGTTTCTTTTTGTTAAGTTCACGATGTTTAATTTATTTCTCTCGGCAGTTGTGGACGTTTAGTGACCCGTTTTGTTGTGATAATTGAATTTACTCAAATATAACCCTACTCTATTCCAAGAATAACCCAACAGAGAACATTCTGGCTAGGATCTTGTCGATCCTCATCCCTGAATCTCATAGGGCCATTTATGAACTCAAGTTGGCACAACGAACTCCCGTGTTGGACGCTAGAGCCTCAAATGACTAGATAGGTCACGCCCGTCGACAAAATCTTCTCCAGCCAGCCTCCAACCAGGAAATTGGTTCTACCAATATCCTATTTACATTGCTTTTTCTCAAGCAGGTTGGATTGGCCCTATTGGTCTGATTGGCTCGGATGCCACTTAGCTCTCCCCATAAGCTCTCTGTGGCTACCCGCTCAGGATGGAACATTCCAAAACTGCCCGAGCTACCACCAAATCATGGAACTCTAGACAGTGTCAATCAGGTAGACCTGCAGATGGGTGCATAGCCCTGCCCATGGTTGTACATGGTGGATCAACGATATCCGTGGCATCTGTGCTGGGACCGTTGCCAACGGGGATGCAGTTCCGGGGCCAATTCACCCAGCACTCAGGATGGGATAAAACACAGATATAGAGGGCAAAAGAAAAGTAAATACTGAACGGAGATATATTGGCTTGGGCCTAACGGCCGGGAGCGGATCTTCCTCACGAAGCCGTCGAGAATACAACCCGTCCACTATTCGCTCTCGTTTCACACCTTTCCTAGACATGCATTCGCCTCCCACAGAATCGAGGCTAAATCAAGACATGACGCTAGACAATAGAGAAAAGATCTGAAACGCTCGGCAAGTGGATCATGGGCATACGACCGGGGTCCAACTTATTTCTAGACCTGAGATTTCTGACCTGGCTAGGGTTCAGAAACCCTTGAGCACCAACCCATGTCTATATTTCTCTTTGTTTCTTCCTTTTCTCTACACGCCTGGAACAGGCCGAGATCCTTCTTGCTCATCTAGCAATGGCACGGGCCTCAATTGTGATTAAGCGGGCCGAGAAGCTGAAATGAGGCGGATATGATAGACATGGTTCATGTGCCACTGGTTCGATCAATTCATGATGTCTATTAAAAGACCCGGACGATACCTTTCCCTCACCTTGCTGTGTTTCCTAGTACATTGATATAAACTTAATAGGATCCCGTTCCCTATCCTTGATTTCCAACTTTTATAGTTTATACTGTTTCTTGAACAATCTCTCCGCGCTGGCAACCTGCAACCTGGGATATCAACACTATAGCAGTCTGGAGACTCACCTCATTTCTCCTAACGGTTGAGTTGCCGACAGATCTGAGACCGCATTGCATTCAACGGCTGGACTTACAGCCCAATTCCCAGCAAGACCGATCTCTTAACAGCTACACAGCCGTGCCATTGCGAAGCATAGCCGGTACTTGAGAGTCACTAGAGGCTTGTGACTACTCATTATAGTTATTCAAAGCGGCTTTTGCCTTCGTCATCCTTGTGGTATCGCCTACTGATAGTGAATTCCCTGCTATCGTATGCATACGGTAAGTGACACCCAATCAGTTCTCACCGTTCTGGTGAAACCTCTCTATATATACCAAAGCACTAACCTCTCATAACGGTCAACCCTGCAGGTCCCCTCGAATTCTCCACACTATATCCAGTGTGCACTGACCGACAAAGAAGAAACCTCCGGGATAACGGTCGTCCACACCCAGCGACAACCCGCGTACAACACTCGCCTGTAGTTGCGGTGAAGCGTGGAAGACAATAACCCATCTAGCCTGCTCAGTATAATCCTTTTAATATTTTTATTTTTATTTTTCTCTGTGATCAATATGGCAGACATTCTTGCTATTCCTGTGCCGAAGCCATGTATTGGCTATTCGAAGAAGTACACCCATGAGCCGGGAGAGCTTATATCTGCCTACTCGTCGGACTTCCTTCGGAGTTCAGATGATTTTGATAAACAACTTCTTTCTTCCCCTACCGATTGGTACTCAGTCTTCTACCCCTCCGCATCAAATTCCCCTCTAGACCTTCATTTGCTGCACCACCCTTCCCCAGCACTTCAAACACAACAACGTCCCCGAAATCCTTCTAAAGACATGCTGAACCAGCATCGTTTGACGGGATATCCCATGCCACTTATGGAGAATAGACGCTACACGCCGCTTCAAGTGGAAGGCCCTCGCACTGCGGCGTATTCGCAGAGCGTGTCTCCATTCACGACGCAGGTGGACCTCAGCAGCGCGCTTTCAAGCAATGGAAGCACTTATTGTGAATCTGATCTTGACTCACTTGACCATTTTGATGAGCCTTTCACCACACGCACCATGGAAACACACGCTGGGCTAGTTCAACCAGCACCACGGAGCAACATGTTTCCAGTAGCCGGCAATCCCTTCCGCTTGGCAACTGAGGAAATGCCTTTTTCATCCTTTGGTGTCTCGGATACCTCACGAGATGGGCAGGCCTTTTCTAACTCTCAATTCAATGTTCCAAACCCAAACATCGTCAATTCTTTCATGACCTCACCCCTCAATAATTACCCACACAACCCACATCTCGTGCCTTCCTCTATCACGCATCCAAGTTCAAGGCCGGGAAATTGGGATGGATATCTCACATGGTCTGTCTCTCCTCCGTCTAACGACGATGATATCTGGTATCCTGCTCGTAACCCTAGCGGCTCATCAGAGGATGGCGGCTGGCAAACCCACCACGGATACAGTGCACCTTGGCCCGTCTCCAATGCATACACCAGCCCAAATGAATGTAATCAACCTGCACCCCACATCTATGGACCGAGTCATGGACTCCCCATGTCTTCATTTGGACCTACTCCTATGACTTTGGCCCCATCTGTGCCCACCGGGCCCATGAGCCACATCTCCCATTTTCCAGTTTGTGGACCTTACGCACCCTCCATTGAGGCACCTCAGTATCAACCCGAACCACACCCAATGTATATCGCAAGGCCGCAGGCAATTTCTTCTGACGCAGAATTCGGATCCCCCAACCAGAAATCAGCAAAAAGCCTCAGTCCATCCTTCTCCACCTCCGCCAACGAAGAACAACGATCCCCACAGCAGAGCGGAAAAGATCAAGGCAATATCGAAGCTCGCTTGCACTACACGGACGAGCGAAACACATTCCTCATTGACTCTAAGCGCCGTGGGCTATCATACAAGGAGATCAAGCGAGTTGGTGGATTCAAGGAGGCGGAGTCTACATTGCGAGGCCGATACCGCACCCTCACCAAGTCTAAAGACCAGCGCGTGCGAAAGCCTAAATGGCAGAATAAGGATGTGAGTTAAGAAACAGTTCTTCTTTACTACGAGATGACCCAGACTAATACAATCGCATTCTTACAGATCCGGCTCCTTTGCCAAGCCGTCACCATTCACTCCGAAACACACGACGCTTATAGTTCTCTAAGCAATGTCAGCATGAACATGAATGAACCACCGAAGGTATCTTGGAAGAAGGTTGCCGAGCACATTTGGGCGAATGGGGGGTCTTATCATTTTGGCAATGCTACTTGCAAGAAGAAGTGGTGTGAGATTCACAACATCACGCTTTGATTTGGTCTTTGGATGAATATCCCAAGGATTAAGGGTGGAGTGGTTTCTTTTTGTTCCCTTTTTTGCTTCTGATATGCAATTATCTTGGCAAATTGGCCTACATTTTGTATTTTGTTTGTATTCAGCTGGTCTGAGGCTTTGTGTTGTAGCGTTGTCTGTGTATACTTTTCCTCGTGGTTACTTTTTGAATGTTGGAATTTTGTCTACATATAATTGAGATTAAGTTACCATGTACTAGCTGCTATCCTATGTGATAAATTCATATTGTTATTGTGATGTATCTCTGCGGAATCGGGTCCCTCAAACATCAAGTTTAGAGGGGGGTTTCGGCATGACTTCGGATTGTAGGCTTTCAAGCCCCAGTCGCAAGACGGGCCAGAGGTGGAGCGAGAATCCACGGTGCATCCGTTGGTCCAAGATGCAGCAGTAAAGTCTCGAAGAGCGCCTCCCTTGTAAGGTCATCCTCAATGCGACATAGATGCAATCCAAGCAGTACCTTGGCGTCTTCGATCCCAAAAGCGAGTCTGTCGCGCTCTTCGTTAAGGCTTTCATCTTGGTCTTCTTTGTCGGTCTAGCATGATTCCATGTAGTATATCTTCTTCGGCTGTCTTCTGGCTTGTATTATTATGAATATTATTCCTCATCTCGCTATGTCATATACATACCTTTATACTCGATACTAACTAATGTGCCAAATCCGCTTTCTATAAAATTCTACAGCATTCAAACTAACTTCTGCTACTTTCATTTCAGGTTCACTTTAGTTCGAGAGTATCTCAACTACACTTATCTTCTTTCATTACTATTTATCAGACACAGAGTAAAATATTATATTATACATACCGCAAGGTTTCACATATAGGGGATATCTAAGCATCATAACATCACCTTATCGACTACCGTGTCTGCTGCACTCGGACATATAATTTAAGAAATCACATTATTTTATCAGGTCTCACTTCCAAACATCGATTGCTTATATCCTCAAAACATCATTTTCTTCTCTAATCTTCTATTTCACTTCTCACCTTTTTACACCTATTTCTTACTTGCACTGCCTTTTGGTTTTGAGTCCCTTCCTATCCCGGAGTCAAGGAGTTCTCCAGCCACCTATCCCTTAAGGATTGCTAGCCCGGCTATTTTGATACTTAGCACGTGGTTGATCTCAACCAAAAACGCATCCGCACCTCGTTTTTTTCGGAACATTTCATGTGACCCGAGGCTTTTATCAGTGAGTGATAGAAAAAGCCTGCTCCAGTACTAAGTTTGATATAGAGATGTGTAAGCTAGTGTGTTCTTTTTTACTTTTAGTTCTGCTTTACTTTGTAATATATCATGTCGGTTACGTTATTCATACACAATCTAGACTAGCTGTCCTATAACCGACTCCTACCCTTGCTAAGTATAGAAAAGACTCAGTTACGACTACATATTTTGCCGTGAGACCTCATCAACCACCATCTAAATTTCACCTAACAAGAGCGCCATATAAGCTTCGTAATTGCCGACCACATCGTGGAGAGAGTAGTAGAGCTCAGAGATAAGGTAGATCGCCGGCACCACGTAGCACACAGATCAATACGATTACAATCCCGATCGCTTTGACACGCTTTTCACCTGCATCGATCAAGGAACCTTTAAAATTGGGAGAAGTATTTTGGATGTTGATGATGTACTGTCCAGTGCGTCCTGGAAGTCCTTTCTCGAGTTCTCATCGGCTGCATCCTAACTGAATCAGTTCGACGTGGTTAAATCCTACAATCCTACAGACATAAGGACGCAGCAACCTGAGGTGGAGGATCAATATCCTGCAGGAGCGGACATGACTAGCCAAGCCATGGAGATCGAACCATATGAAATAAATAAACACCACTAAACCGCGCAAGCCGTCAACCAACTACCGAAGGAATGTGCCTTCTGCAATATCACCCGCGTTTGACGAAGTCGTAGGGTCATAGATTCCCGCATTACCGCCTTGCGATCGCGTAAGATTGTGGGGTAAGCTGTCGATCAACAACTGAAAATTGGTTGGTTCATAACTGGATGAAGGTCGGTGTCATTTGAATTGTCGACTTGCCATCCGATACACCCGCTTCCTGTCTTTCTACATAGCACTGCACAGTTCATAATACATTGCATTGTACTCTTTTATATCTCATCTACTCTGTAGACTCAAATAGCAACAAATCTACCATGGGACTTTGCATTCCCGGTGTTTGGGTGAATATACTCTCACTTACGGTAGGGATAGGATTACCTGATGTAAACAGTTCTCAAAGATTCTTACTTAGATGTACAACCCTGGTTCCTCTCTGCTTGTCTTTTCGTCTGATAGACATGGAATTTCCATAATTGACTCGGTGGTTGACGACTCGGATTTCATTAACCGGGGCATCGATACCCGCTACCCCGGGCGGTCGCTCAATAGCCGGGGGGGAAATGCAATAGCCGTAATAAACATCGACAACAGAGTCAGAAAAGAGGTATTTAACTAATTCCGCCTTGCCAGCTTAGAAATAGAATTCTCAGAACAGGTTCTGCAATTTTTTCTTGCACTAATTGCATGTTGACCGTCATCTAATACCCCTAAACCCCATTACAAGCACCGATCCGTCCTATATAAACACAAAAGCTTACCTAAAATGTCGAAACCGATTGTCCTCCACCTCGGCGACGACATCCGCTGGAATCATGATCAATACAGCAAGTTCAAAGATGCCTTCGAGATCCGCCGGTCCTACAGCATGTCTCGGCCGGAGTTTATCCGAGCCCTAAAAGAGCGCCAATTCGGCGACTTCTTTGCCATCTACCGCCCATTTTGGAATACCGGTGGCGAGATGGGAAACTGGGATGAGGAGCTTGTCTCGCTGCTCCCCACTTCCTGCAAGATCTATGCCAGTGCCGGTGCCGGATTTGATTGGGTTGATACTGCAGCTTTGGCAAGGAAGGGTATGTATACAACCACATGGGACTACGAGGAAACCTGAGTCACGGACAAAGCGACTAACTTCATACTCTATAAAGGGGTTATTTACTGCAATGCGGCCGCAGCATGCACAGAATCCGTCGCTGATGCCGCCATCTGGCTCATTATTTCAACATTCCGTCTGTTCTCTTGGTCACACATTGCTGCACGCGCCGTAGATGCCGATGCCTTTGTTGATGCAAACCGCAATTTGGCGATGGTCTCACACAATCCCAATGGACATACACTTGGAATTATTGGATTCGGTCAAATTGGACGGCGCACTGCCGAAAAGGCCTTCCTGGCCATGAACATGAAGATTCATTATCATGACATCGTGCAGATGCCGGCACACTTAGAAGCCGTCTCGAAGGCAACATACCACAAGGACATGGATAGTCTTCTTGCTGTGTCGGACTGTGTGATGGTTGCGACGCCGTTCAGCGGCGAGACACTGCTCAATGCATCTTTGCTGGCAAAGATGAAGACCGGTTCGCGACTGATCAACATTGCCCGTGGTAAGCTGCTTGACGAGAGTGCTCTTGTTGATGCTTTGAAGAGTGGTAAGCTCGCTGCCGCTGGCTTGGACGTGCACTATGATGAGCCACGCGTTAGCCCAGATCTTGCAGCTATGAAGAATGTCGAGATGATGTCCCACAATGCGGGCGCTTCGGTTGACTCACATATTGGATTCGAGAGGTTGGGTATGGAGAATATTCTCTCTTTCTATCGGACTGGCAAGGCCGTTACGCCCGTTAATGCGCACCTAGTGGCTAAAGCGACAGGCTCCAAGCTATAGACAGTGTCTTTATTCAAATGGTACCATTATTCATTGTTCACCTTCCTGCTCGCGCGTTGTACTAGCGCGTTGTACTCGACGCCTACCTTTCTAGTGTTTAGACTGCAGGCGATCCGGGAAACTATAAATACTTGACAGGCCCCAAAACGATCTTTCTTTCCTACGCCTCCCATCCTTTCGCATCTTACCGTCCGAACAAACTGCTTCTCCAAACATCCCAACTTATCATCCAACCATCTCAAGCGTGTTGTAGTATACCTCCACGCCCGCCCACCCCCACATCATACTTCTCTCCCACCGGTGTCTGCACCACCGCAAAGTAAGTAAACAAACAATTGATACCCAGTCTCATCCCATCTATGAACTAACGGGCAACATACTAACCTGCCTTATCAATAGCATGAACGTGCAGCCTGCCGGAGCTCCTCCCCCTCCCGCCTTCACCCCCACCAGCATCCGTCAGGCCTTTGAGGTGGGCATCATCAACCTCCGGGCCAGCATGGACCGCCGTCAGGCAATGGCCGACGGCACCATCCCCTTCGACCTGGCCGAGTTTGAGGCGCTGAGCGAGCGCATCTGGGACACCCGGGTTGAGTTCGCCAACCAAATCCGGCGTTGGGCTGACCCCCGCGACGCCGTCATCCTCGCCAGGCTGTATGGCGAGCTGATCGGTAGAATGCCCGATGAGGCTGGAGTGGTCCCCTGAGTGGGACGTGTTCGTGTCTTATGTTTCGAACCCTGCCCCACGCAGGTGGCTGGTCCATCTGCGTGGGTCAGGGTTCATGAATGAAATTCAAATGCTTCCTCACCAATTCTTTTCTCATTATTAATAGTAAAGTAACATAGATCTCAAAGTAAACAAAAGGTATCATGCGACTCAGTAAACATACTACATATCCTTCATTCCTTGTAATCATTGTAGATCGTCACCCTAGTTCTTCATCACAGCCTCTGGTGGTTGAATACGTCCCGGTGCTTGGATAATTGCCCCAGGGGAGTTAGGTCCGAATTGCTGTACAGGGCCGTCGTGCGGATGAATTGCTACTTGCACGCCACAATTCGTACAAAAGTGGTGCGAGTCGTGACACATTTCCATACAGAACGGTAGGAATGCACAGCAAATTCCGCCGAAGAGACAGCAGCACACTGCCGCCATACTATCAAGTAAACCAGAGATTAGTATCATTAGAGGTGAGACCGAGCGGAAAGTGAGGTGAGGATAGATGAATACTCACGACGTAGCGCTGGTGCTCTCTTTGTTCACCCTTGTCTGAACCTCATGGAAGCAAAACGGACAACAGATGCGTCCGGGCTCTTCGCCAAGTTGGGCCAGTGGAATCACTCGTTGGGCGACTGGAACTTGCAGCACAGTTGGTGTGCCTTTCTCGTTGGTTTGTGGCAATGTAACAGCCGGTGCAGGAGTTGTGATTGCGTCTTTCTTGTGCCTGCTTCTTTTAGATCAGGCTGTTTTCTTTGGACCGGGAAGCATACTCATCGTATTGTGGCGGAGGTCCGCTCTCCGCGGGTATTATTGCCATAGGGTCAGATACCGGCAATGATCTTGTGGCTGTAGGTTCGGGTGTTGGGCTTGCTTCAGGGGCTGTCGGCGATGCTGTGGGCGATGCTGTGGGCAATGCTGTGGGCGATGCTGTGGGCAATGCTGTGGGCAATGCTGTGGGCAATTCTGCGGGCGACGCTGTGCTATCCGCCGGCGCTGTATTTGGAGCAGTCGGCGCTTCTACTATGGAATCCGTAGCTGGTCCGGCGGCCGTAGCCGATGCAATTGGCGCTGTTGACTCTTTGTTGTTTTCCATGGTGGGGAGTTCTTATGTAGCTAGGTAAAAAAAGAACCAAAGCCAATGAGTGCGAGGCCGTCGTTCTTAAATACCATTTTAGTCAAAATGTGGGGTCCAAACTCAATACGAGAAGCATGGTGCAGTATCAAGGGGAAGTTGAGGCTTAAAACGCCATAAACGGCACAGCATAAGGGTCTAAAAGGCCAGTCAAGGCCAATCAAGGGAGTTACTGGAATGAGACTGAGGATTTTAGCCAATCATGATCAATTTCGTACAGATCACATGTTTGGCCCCCTGGTCTGCGCCCCAGGACCCGGTCACGGACCCCTAAGGTCGAGCGAGTTTTCTTAGTTTGGGAAGATAATGCATGAAAGCTCTTGTATAAATGAGTCACGAGCGACCTAGTCTATTCTTGTGCAGTGTATCTTGTTAGTCAAATGTTTCACTTTCGCGTCTGGGCAATTATCGGATTTGTTGGTTTTTGGTTATGGAGTACAACTACTAGCACAACATCGGTAATAATTATCAGGAAACCTGGATTTATGGCAGGTAAAATCAATCCGGTCTAGAGGGAACAAAAATCTATCATGTGAAAATATAGGCTCATTTGCATTAGGCCTAGTAAGAGTATAACACTTGGAGAGTAGATCGTGGACCGATTATACGAGGTAGTTGCCAGGTACCATCGCAATCGCCGTCGCCCCGACAATGACTACATTGACGGCGATTCACTTCTATTCACGTAGGGCGACCAACCCATTCACTCTCGCCTTCGACAAAAGAATGCATCTACGAGACTTCCTTTTCACCCAAGGTTCATTCCGGCGACCACAGCAACCTCCCTCCCATCATATCCACCACCTTTACGCCCAGGCAGCGGCCAAGATAACGGAACCGCCAATGAAACCATCATCCCCTCCCACAATGCACGCTACCAAGCGAAGAACTTGACAAACCATCACCGCAGCCATCGGGCCGCAGACTATGTGAGATCCCGAACTTCCACGGTAAGTCACAATTACCTACCATTATGGAGCGTACCTCATGATATCCGGCAAGATAATGACCTCTCGATCAGATCCATCTCAAAAGACTCTCGAAAAAAGCTACATCCGCTTGTCTAATGTCTTGTCTCTTGTCTTTCAGGCTTACTTGCATCAGTGCCCGCTCGTTTTCCGAAATCGATTCCGCCACTCTGCAATCGAATGGACAGAAGTAATTGGGGTTTATAGAGTCACGTGTGACCCTCCCAGCGCCTGCCTATCTAGGAAGGTCTTCGTTTCTACGGGGGTAGCTTCTTTGTTTCCGCCTTCAACATCTGCCGGTCTTTGTTATTTCGCTTCTCGCAGCTCATGTTTGACCTAGCTCGGGGTTCATGCCATACACCGAAAAGGAGGGAAAGCATCATACTATCACCCTTCCGTTTTCCTACACAAGTTTGAACCAAGGTTCTGCATTTCCAACGGTCTCATTTCCTCTATCTGGTGCTTTTCATTGTTGGTCTATCTGTGGCCCTTGAAAGCTCATGATGAACGGATGTGATGGATATATCTGAACAAAGTAAATATCCATAGATGTCTCTGGCTATCACGGTGGCTTTGCCCTGGGTTGGCTTAGGCTGCTGTTGGCATCATCAGCGCTGTTATCTTTCTCTGTGACGACAGTCAATGTTGCTGGCCTATTGGTTGTCTTCCAGGTCTCTTGATGAACTGATGGTAGAAGCACCTCGAGAATTAGGGCCTCTCATCCCAGTGGCTAACATGGTCGCTACCCACAACATTTATGGTAGGTCCCTTCCTATCTCCATCCACGCACCCAATACTGATATCCTGAGGAAACCTTGGAAGCTTCAGGAGATTACTATATGCGTTAGGTACTATGCGGGCAGTGACTTGGGACATTGTTTGTGATAGAGACCTCTCCCTATCTTGTCCTTGTTGCATATTCAGGATCCAGATTCTTCCATTCTCTTAACTTTTCTCCATGAGTATGCAGCATACAAAACCAAGGCATGTATTTTCTATTGGAAGCTCTTGATGAAATTCTTTTTAACATCTCGTAGATGAGAGAAATACAAGACTAGATATGTATTCAATTTATACACCTCCCAAGCGATTCCATTCCGGGTATTTAATTCAGGCATGCAAGTATCCTACCGCATCTTCCGCGTAGCTATACAACTCCCAGAAAACTATTCACAGCGAAGGCCCACGAGAATCCGTACGAGGATATCCAATCGTAGCAAGGACCTGCGTCAAATACTCCGGATTCTCACGCAGAGCATCCCACTCACCCTCGGCCTTAACCATCAATGTCGCAGCAAGGATAGTACCATTCAGCGAGAGCACGCCGGGATCAACGATATCGCGCGTCGTCGCGCTATTAACGGGAACAAGAGCCGTCTCCTGTTTGCGCGGGCAGATCATCATCGTCGAGCGGGTCATAGCTAGGTTGTAGCTTATAGACGCTGGTCCCTGTGTGGGAAGAGACTCGGTGTCCTGGCTCGGTGTTCGTCCGCGCGTCGCTGCGGCCGCGGCCTTGTACAAGGTTATGTAGATTGCGTGCAGGGTTTCGGCAGAGGGGTTTGGAGGGATTGGGAGGGCGAAGTGGGCCAAGGGGAGACCTGGCAGATGCTGGAACTTCGGTGTTGGAGAGGGGGAGGTTGGTTGGGAGGTGAGGAGGTCGATCAGCGGATGCCAGGACTCCAAACCTGGCTGACGCATTGAGTCCACGGGGAGGAATTGGAGATGGCGGTGTGGTTGGCTTGCGCCGCTGTCGTCGCCGGAGTTGAAGAAGGCGAAGAGGCTCTTTGAAGACGAGCCGTTTGTGGATCGAGAACCATCGTCGTCGGTGTTCCAGGCTTTTAGACACTCGTATGTAGCTTCGAGATCAGGCTTGTCGAGAATATCAGTCTGCGCTTGCCAGTCCTTTGTCACCAGGAGGAAGTGGTTTGGGATGACGGGGAATTTGTTGAGGATGAGGTTGTAGGTGGGGTTCTCGGGCGGGAACTGGGCGATCAGAAGATCTGGAGATGGATGCTCGAAGGGATCGGGCTTTGGTGTTTTGGGGCCATTGTCGGGTTTCAAATTGGAGGGCTTCTTTGCGAGGGCAGGGCAGTAGCGAAGTTGGTACTGGGTTTGCGGGTTAGAACTGTCGTGGTCGGAGTCTCAGCGTCACTCACTGATATCCCTGCAGCATTGATGATGGACAGATGGGTTGAGGAGAACACGAGATGGCCAGTATCTTTAGCAGCTGTAAAGCGTCTTGCGACAAGCGTGGGGAGAGATTCTGAAAATCCTAATTGCATCGTGGAGGTTGAATGGAGTTGAGACCGGGGGAGATGGCAGAACATGGGGGTGGAGATCGGCACATGGGAACCTGTTCACTTCACTTGGGCTTTCTACTGTTTATCCAAGGAATTTATATGGAATGTTTTTTGTTTATAAATTTTCAATTAGACACTCATTTTAGTTTCCAATTAATAGTGTCTTGATATGATCCCGACCAGCAGGATCTGGCATACAGGCATATAAGACCAGCCTGAAGACAAAAACAGACAGAAAAACAAAAGTCATTCAAACGTATCAGTCCCAAGGTATCATCCACAATCCGCATTCAGACAAATCGCTCAAGACGCCACTGCTGTACGGAAACATGAGACAGAAAAATAGGCACGAAGGGGGAAAGGAAGATAGGGAGAGTAGGGAGTAAGGAGTAAAGGGGAAAAAAAACCACAAAAGGAAGTCGTTTAAGCCATCAATTCATTGATAGAAATCTCATCATCCTGGGATAGTTCTGGCAATAACATCGCCGGCTGACCCATAATATGAGACGAAGGACCGTTCATCCAAGGGCCACGCTCCTCCTCAGTGGCACTCAGCACGCCCTCAGCGCGCTTCATCGTCTCGACATCCAGATCGGTAACGTAAGCATCACGGTTGGTGCCATCGCCGGCGCCACCGGGGAGTCTCAGACGGACCTCGAACTCATTGTTGAGCATCATCTCGTCTTTCCACAGACGGCGTTGGCCATCAAAGACACACAGCACACGCTTCTTGGTCTTCATGCTGCTGCTGGGGCATCCCCAGGACTGGGGGTAGTTGCCACGGTTATTGCGGCGACGGGTTGCGACAGTGCGGGGGGGCTTGGAGGAATTCTTGGAGATGGCATTCCCGGAGCCGATAATAGGGCGGGAGGCGGGGATGTTGCCCTTGGATGATCTGGGTTTGGTCTTCAAACCGCGCCAGTTGGAGGGGTCGTGGGTATCGTCGTCATCTTGGTCTTCGTAATCGTCGACTTGGTCGACCGAGCCAGGCGCGTCAAGTAGTTGGTGCTTCTCCATGGTCTTTTTGACCTCCTCGTCTGAAGCGACCTCTGCCAGACGCTGCTGGTTGATCGCCTCCGAGGGCTCTTCTTGCTGCACAACGCGGAGAACACAGTCGTCCAGATGCTCGTAGAAGTCCTGCGCGTTGCTGAAGGTCGATGAACAGGTCGAGCACTTTCCTGTTGCGTCGGGGCTGTAGTTGGTGCCCTTCTTCGCTACGCCGGGGCTGCGCTTCCGGCAGTTTGGTGGAGTTTGTTCCACGCCGTGGACGGAGGTCAGATGGCGCTTGAAGACGTCGGCGCGGTTGAAGCTCTTTTCCGCGGGGGAGCCGGAGCCCGGGCAGAAACCGCATACCATTGTTCCTTTGTAGTGGGTCAGGGTGTGGCGGTTCTTGTCGTACTTGCGGGCGAAGCCTTTGATGTGGTACTCGCAATTCAGGATCGGGCACTTCTCTGGTCGCTCAGACTGGTGAGTCAACATGTGGGCTTTCAGGTCTTTGAAGACTCGGCCACAGTCGGGGTGTGGGCAGCGCCCTTTTTCTTTGGTGTCTTCGTCTGGCTCGATGCTGCTCAGCGCCGGGCTGTGTTGCGAGCGTCGGGAATGCATTGACGAGACGGACGATCGTCGATCATAGATCGAGAGTGGGCGCGAATGTGACCTATGTGGGACCATGAGGGGAGACGGCCCAGTGTGTTGTAGTGGGTGTGAGCGTGGAGATGTGTGGTGGTCTGCGATGTCATTATATGGGAGAGGCGATGGGGCGGGAGAGTGGGAAATGTAATTGGGTGGCACGTTTGAGTAGGAAGAGGTGGGTTGGTCGGGATATGAGATAGTCGGGGTGATTCCAGGGCCTTGTTGCGCTGGTTGGATCAATGAGGGATCTGGTATGCATTGTCAGTATACCAGACAGCTTTTGCGAGTGATATCAAAACATACCGACAAAAGGGTCCGGGAACTTTTCTTGATAGGGCATATCCATGTCCAACGTACTTCCCATGTACTCCTGAGAGAAAAGGTCGTTCATCACTGCGGCTGGCAGACCCAATCCGTGGTTCGTATTCACCCAGTTCTCCTGGAAGGCATGCGCGGTTCCTGAGTATGGTGATCCCATTGCCGAAGAAGATGCGCTAGCAATGGATTGCCCCGAGGCAGCAGACCCGGTGGGAATATATGGCTCAGCAGAGTGAGAGGCAGAGATCGAAGGGGGTGTGGCGGGTATAGAAGAAAAATATGTTGGATTTTGCAGATCTGCAGACTCCAACAAAGGGTGGGTATCATAGTAGGAATTGGACGCATGGGACATATCATGGCCTTGTGTGTAGTTGGGAAGACTCTCAACGGGGAAAGAGAACATAGAGGGATCCATGGTCATGGGATCGAAGTATGGGAGTTGTTTAGGCCGGGTAGCTTCGAGGGCCATCATCTTGGATCGAGCGTGGAAAGGAAAGAGAGTGAAATCGGGGTGGGATTCAAAGGCCATCATCTCCTTGGTTAAGCAATGCAATGCGCGATGGCGATCCTAGATACACAAATCTGGTCAGTACATGCTGTTTCACAGAATTCCAATTTTGCGACGCATGGACATACCGGTGATAAGGTTTCTGGCTGAGATCGCGGCCCGCTCGGCTAACCAAAGACGACAACCACGAAAATGAGCCAACGTGCGCAATTGACCGAGAGAATAGATCCTCATGCAAGGAGGTAAGAAGGTACACTATATCGCAAGGCAGGGAGGTCACATCCAAGTTGCAACTCTACGGACACGGGTAGTGAAGCAATGTCGATCGACAGAGAAGAGTCGAGGGAGACAAGGTTTAATAAGCGTATTCCCGAAAAGATCGAAGACGAGGATTGCGCTAGATCGTCGAGTGATATAAATTCATGACAGACTTTGGGGGGGGGGGAGGGAGGAGAGGATATTATAGATTGTCAAAGAGGAGGAAGCATTGTTAAATGGTGACGATGGGCCCGCCCTACTGTAGTTAGTTATAGTCTTGTGTCTAGAATTATATTTTTTATTTTTTTATTTTTTCAAAAAAGGAAAAAGGAAATTGAAAATTGAATTGAATTGAATTGAATTAAAAATAAAAATGAAAATGAAAATGAAAAAAACCACTCGATAGTAAACAAAAAAAAAGCAAATAATACATAAAACAAAATATAATATAATATAATACCATTACATACCGTATTTTTTTGGCACGAACCAGTTGAACGTGTCGGGGCTGTGAACAGGGACAGGGAAACTTAGCGCCCATGCAGATAAATTTGGGACCCTCGGGCTATTATTATTATCTGCACATGGGAATCCTCATGGGTCAATATCTGGTCTGGATATTATTCTATTATTCTCAAGTAGGTAGGTAGTTAATTACTGTCGATTAGTAATATTGTACCTCCATCTACTCTAACCTCAGACATTTCAAATCAAAGTCTTGCGTACACACTATTTTGTACTATAGTACGCACGGTACCCCGTACTCCGTAGTTGTCTAGGCCGTCGGCTCAGCCTTCATCAGGCGCCCAATCTCTGCTATCCCATCAATAGTCAATATATAACCCACCATATAGTCGTTATGGGTTCTGACAGCTCGCCTACCTTTATCCACTTTTGGCTCATTCCGCCCTACGAGATATGTACGCTTTCCGAATATCTCTTCCGAGATTCCGGTGGAAGCAAATATTGGTTTGCCCAAAGTACCTGCATTGAGATAGATCGTCCATCGTGCTCATAAGAACCAAATTGGTCGATGGCGCATATTGAGATGAAAAGCAATTATGAAGTTGCTGGTCCTTTTGCTTCACAACCTCTGCAACACAAATTAGATTTTTGACGGGGATCAGGAGCAGCCTCCGGTCAGACGGTCGGCCGTTGCACGAGAATGAATTGCAATATACGGAGTATAATGATTAATCGCTATTTTTTTTTTTTTGCTCATCATCGGCACCTCCGTTCTGCATAGCAGGGGCTCTCTCCTGTGGTCTTGGCGGCCCCTTTTCCCCCAGACCCTCCTTAGCCTCGTCACCCCGGTATGCATATTCGCATATATACGTGTGGACCAGCTTACCAGGGTACAGAATGGAACTCAACATGTTAAGGGGGAAAATGTCTATCTTATACTCTCCAAAAATGTTCTATCCCGCCAGTGCGGGTCAGACTGCTCCGTACCCGTCCGTCCCATTTACACCAAATCATGGTAGGAAGAGCGGGACTACGGGTTAGTATACAAGCATAAAGTAAGACAAGCAGAAAGTATAATAGACCCAGATCTGGGGATGTAGATGTACCCTTTTTCTGGGAAAACTAAAAAGCAAAAAAGGACAAGGATGAGTTTTGGGGAATGTCAGAAAGGACAGTACGACAGTACGGAGTACTCCGTACTCCATACATATAACACACAAATACAAATACAAATCGAAATTCCACGAGTTCGGTCGATCCGTGACGGGACCCCATTCATTTAGCGTCCCCTCCATAACTCGGCAGGACAACCGCGTGCCCAGAGAGTGATTGGCCCATGTGTCACGACCCAATGAGAAATGAAATGAGGGATTCCTAACTCCTCTCCAATCAGGGCCCTGAAAGCCCTTCCAAGGACTTGGTGGGCATTCCTTAGGGTCGGCCGGGTGGGTTCGTGTCTGTTTCGCCCGCTATTCCTTATTAGTAACCATGACAGGCGATCATTACAGCATGTTGTGTCAAAATATTTTTCTTTCTCAATGTTTTCCTCGGATTTGCTCGGCTGTACAAGAGCCGCATTCTTTTAGTGATTGGGATTGGGCCTGCTTCTCTTGGTTGCCTTTTGCGCCATTTCCTAATCAGGAAATCAGCGCAGCAGTTCTATCCTCCTTGTTATATTTACAATTTACAAGATCCTATTAATCTGTCACGGCATACATCGTATGCCTACAGGTAAATCTCGGACATCCCTTGATCACTGGGTGTTGCATATCCGAAGAAAACTTATGGTGGGTCTACCCAAAATGGATAGATGAATGTCAATCTATTCTCTTTTTTTTTGCTTTTTTTTTCCCGGATGCACGGTGATAAAGTGACATATTTCTCATTTTTAAGTCAAAGTCGGAGATTCAATTGCAGATTAATACTATCAAGACCCCATCCCTTAATGTGGTGTTCACAAAACATCGAGATTAAAATACCAGGAAAAGAAAACAGAACCAATCTTGGCCTCTTAGATCCCCCCTCCGCATTACCCATTGACCATATTCATCTAGACTATCTACACTAATTACGCCATATAGCCCTAGCCGGTACAGGGGAGGAGTACGAGCTGTCATTCGGAGTGTCCGTGTTTGGCACCAAAATACAACTAGCGCCACATATGCCTAAGCCACAGACCCATACGAAGTACAAGTTTGTCCCAATCATAAGCGAAAAAAAGGCGTTCTTGGAATTCGTCACATAGCCAAACAGCATAGGGAATTGTTGGTCCACATCCTTGAAAATCAAGGCGCAGCTGGATAAATTACACCGCTGACTGCGGGAGTTCGTATTTATCGGCGATCCCGGTGGTAAAACCCCCCATGCATTCATTGAATGGGGTCTATTCCCATACTAGTTAATAGTCATGTATGCACAGTCTAAATTTTAGATGCTAAACTGGGGGAATGAAGTCATATCCGGCCCGTGTGTTGGGTTTGACCGATTCTTTTACCCTGGTTTTGCGGGTTTGAAAGCCTTGGCCTAGTTAAACTGGCGGTCGGCATCTGGGGATTTGCCTTTCGCCCAGGTTTTGACATCTGTACCTACCCGGGCAATAGGTTCATAACTGCAGATGTTAACTTCTCGTTAACCATAATTATTCTAATGATGACTGGCTACGGAATAGATAGTCTTCACTGGTGATTTTCAACGTCCACGTCAAACACACCCGAAAACGTCCTCAAGCCGTATCAGCCTGTCAGCACCAAGAAATGGCCGTTGATTAAGACTGTCAGTCCTTCACACGTGTGATGGAGGTATCCCACTTGATCCAATCGTTTGTCGAATTTGCTATCCCCCTTTTCCTTTTGGCCCCCAACCTGTTATATATTTCCACTGAAACACTGAACAACTCGTAAAGCCACGCGTTTGAATCTGACATTCCAGGCTCTTTTCTTACGAGGATGATTAGAGTAGCCAAGATCCAGCCGTCACCACGGCATCGGGACCGCCGTATTCCCACCCGCTTCCGGAATTGAGGCTTGAGATAGAATATTAGCCCTGTCTACGACTGAGATAACCTGTATGCCAAAAGGAAGTTCAGTCCGGCGACCCCGAAGACTTCCCCTGTAGGTCCACCGTATCGAAATTAAAAATACGGCAAGCAGCGAGGCTCTTAATTAGCCTTGATGCCACCCCCTCTAAGACTGGTGGATGAGAGATGCCCAATGCGTCGATGCTGGCGTTTGGGAACTGAGGTGCCAAACATCACACCAATTCGAATTATGTGCCTGGGTATACCTGGGTATAGTCCGGGAGCCGCCGGTCCATGGTTGACTCGAACGGAACCATGGAAGTCCCAACTTTCTTTTACCACGTTATATTGTACCTGTTGTTTGTTGTACTTGTTGTACCTACATAGGTACTTAGGTACTTCCAACTCAAATATTTGTCATTTGTGCTTGGATCACCCTCGGACCAGAGATACTCTCCAGAGTGGCAAATGTCATCCCCCAGAGCTTGGTAATCCCCCATTTCGCCGTTTATTACCAAAAACCAATACAGGTTCAAGAATAAACCAACTTTAAAGCAAGCGGCTAGACATTGCAGGTGCAGTAAAAATCCAAAAATACCACATCTAGGTTCTAAGGTTCTAAACCCAGTCCCCTTGAGCCTACTCAGCCAAAAGTTGAGCCTCTCATGCTATTCGCAGCGTCGTACATACCAACCGCGGCCCTAAGCCCTACCGGAGGAGTGGGCAGGATTTTGGGGGGGGAAGGTAGGGGGGGAAGGTTTAATCCCTACCCACCCTCGTGGTGTTTCTAAAAACAGAAGTGAAACAACCAGGGTGAAACAATCCGAGGAGGAGAAGATCAACGCCAACAAGGCGATCGTATATGCATAGACAACCCAGTCTGGTCTGGGGAATCCGGATAGGGCAGGTAGGTTTTTTTTAGGAACTCATGCAAGTGCACGGCATAAAAGACTAAACTATTTCAATGCATGTTTATTATTCTTATCTATATGGTTACATTACTGGAGTTGGTAAACGAAGTCATGGTTCATGGTTCATGTGGTCCCCGCTGATAGTTGTACGAACTTTGAACTTACCATGCCACATCCATGCATATTTCCATTCAGTCCTTCCTCAGTTGGTTTAGATCGTTTTATTGTTTGGGTGTAAACGTTTCGGACCCCAAATATTGGCCATGTGTGTGGACAGGGTTGGTGACCCCGTGGACGCCATTTATATTGCATAG